CCGGCCGAGGCCACTTATTGGCAGACAAACTACTCCGTTCCATCAAATAAATGTGACATTATATAAGTTTTAATGCAGTTTATTAAGCAATAACATCACAATATTAAGAAAAAAAAAACAATCTATTTAGAAGTACTATAAATAAGGCATTTGCCGAAAAACTGCAAGAAAAATACCAAAAAAGTGATTAAAAAACTACATGGAAAAATAATTTAGTGGCCGACGAGCCACTGCCACGAATTGAGCTTGCTGTCTCTCGCAAAAAGCTACATTGTAGTTTTAAAAGCACATTTATTATGAGTCAATGAAGAGAAAAACACAAACTGTTGCTTTCAATCAGCTATTATGATGAATAATGTTTTCTTTTCTTTAATAATCAAGAAAGCAACCAGTAAATATGCGGTCATCCCGTCAGACAGCTGAATCCCAACCTCCCAGCATGCACTGCTCTGAGGCAGCCTCTGTCCGCAGTTGCCATGGTGATCAAGCTAGATTCAAATGCATCATAACACAGAAACTATTTTTGTTTCCCATCAACTTATCTCCATAACAGACTCTTCTTGTGTTTGTTGTAGGAAGTTACACCCGTCCACTTAGTTAATACTTAGTTTTAATATTTATTTTGGGGGTTTGAACGCCTATTTTATTTTATTTTTTTAATAAAATGTGGTAAAAGTGAAGACGTTGAAAGTTAGCATACAAGCTAACCATTTTAACCGAGTGTATCTGTGGTTGACACACAGCCTGCTAACAAGGCGACAGTTATATCAGTGTTAAACGATGCATGTCTGCTGGTATTGTAACACTCAAGTAAGCAGGCTTCTACAAACCCAAATATAACTAAAGTAGTGAGCTGTAAGGACCTTACCTTCGCCGAACGGAAAACGTGAACGCGACTCACGTATCGCGAGAGATAGAACGTGATGTTAAGTGCGCTGATCTACAGATCATAGCCAGTGCGCCTTTCATTCAAATAGAGTGAAAAAACATTTGTAGATCAACAAAAATGTTGCTCCCTTCTGGTGGTCAATGATTTGTATGGATTACATAAATAAAAACTTATTTAAAATAAGATTGGAACAGGGATATTGTTTGTCAATACGTTTACATTTCATTCTCTTAAATATAACATGTTAAAAATCACATGTAATCGAGTATGGTGTGAAGGCGTCTTTAAGGACCTGCACGTCCCTGACTGTGTGATAAAAAAGGAATCAGTGGAAAGTCGGGGAGCCACTCTGTGAAGTTAGCATCCGATTCGTACCCCTGAACCTGCACTACTTTCAATTATCTGTACTTCGACATTTAAAGCACTTAAAACCTGAAATGGTTGGACAAAAACAGATATTCTATAAAAAAAAAGAAAAGCTTGATATATTGATGACAGGTAAGGGAATAAATGGTATTTTTTAACTTATTTGGTCCATGTTGTAAACTACTTCATACTGAAATAACCTGCACAAGGGAACCCAACCATCAGGGGCCTCCCATACATTTTAGATTTTTTTTTATATGAACCTAAAATCTGACGTTTTATTGAGAATATCTATAGCATTAAATAGACCAAACGGGTTTAGCATAGATTAAATCATTTTAAATTGTTGTATATACATTTTTTTTTATAAATTCAAAGAATAATCTTCCTTGTGTTGCATTTTCAATATGATACCACAATTTTAATCTCTCCTTTGTGTTTAAGCTTGATTTTCACAACACATTCATGCCATAAAACCAGTCTCTTTAAATTCCATTCAACTTGGCCCCCTTTCCAGCAAATTTACATTTAAAAGCTGTGATCTTATCAGGGAGAGAGGCCCACAATAAACCTATGATGTAGCTTTTAAGTTGGACCTATTAAGATTTTCACAAATACAATTAAATGGTCTAAAATCAATTTCACTGTATCTGCAATATTTTACAAATAGACTTCATAAAAATAAATCTAGGTTAATTTACACTTTCATAACTACACTTGTTCTTTCGCGCCGAATGTGAAGCGGACTTCATGTCGTGAGGAGTGGGTGAGTCACTACAGCAGGTCTGTTTTTAGCTTCTTTTTCTTTTCTTTTTTTAGCCCGGTGCTGGGGATCAGTCGGAAACTGATATTTGTAATACATTGCAAGGTTTTTCATGTTTAATACGTCACCACAGTAGGTACAGGCAAGTTTTTTAGGTATAGCTACTAGAGCCATTTAATTAAGTGACCTAAATAGTTCTGTTACGTCACCGGAATAGGTTCATGAATAACCAGTCTTTTATGGCTTGTTTTGCAAGAGACAAGTCGGAGAAAGGTGCTTATAGTGACGTTTTAGGTACAGATTCCTGGACCGGAGCTGATGCATTGCAACACCTAGTTGTGGATTAACCTTGCAGATAAAAGCCGCAGGTTAGGGTCAGTGTGCGTCAGGCTGTGCAGGATGAAGAGGCTCCGGCTGGTCGTGGTGGGGGCCGGTGTGGTTGGATTCTCCACCGCTGTCTGTATCGCTGAGGCTCTCCCTCTCTGCTCGGTGACTCTTCTGTCAGAGAAATTCAGCCCGGACACCACCAGCGATGGAGCTGCTGGGATCCTGTTTGCTGCTGAATTTCCAGGTGAGAATCAATCATTTGCGTTTTACGCGCCTTGAGCTTTTTAACATTGAAAAGTTGTGCTTCACTGTAAAGTAAAAAATCCTAGAAGAACCATTGCATTTTAAAATCATCTTTCAACTTCTCTTTTGCAAATGAAAAAACACGATTTCTTATTAAGCCTCTTTACCTGAACTTTGTTTTATTTTTTGGTTATTGCCTTCAAAAGTCCACTAAGCAGACATTACACCAGGAGAACTTATGGTGGTGGCAGCATCATGCTGTGGGGATGGTCAGAGATGATGTGAAAATGAGTAAAATGAAATCCAGGGTCATCCTGGAAGAAGAGCTGTTAGAGCAGGAGTCTGCAACCTGCCGCCATGAGTGGCTTCATCAATTTGGCTACAAATGATAAATCATTTTAAAGAATTATCTGGTTCTTTAACTGCATTACCAGGGTTTCTGCGGGTCATTAAAAGTCATTAAATTATTTTTTTAAAGTAAGGCCTTAATTGGCATTAAAATTCATTAAATGTGATTATCATGGCATTTAAAATGCTTTATACAAAACAAAAAAAAAAGATTATCAAATATATCAGATTGAACTGGTTCCACGTGTTTGCGTGGAACTGCTCCTGATTGATCCTAAAAAAATGTAACATAAGTGGCTGGAAAACCAGAAATTTGGGACATGGCTGCAGCCTGTCGATGGTAAAGATTATAAAGGATTTGGCCGTGTTTATATATATATATATGAGAGTAATGGGTACTTATTGATGGCATTAAAATTATTTCTAAGAGCATTAAAAGAGCATTAAAATGCATTAAAATTGAGTTCCTCCTTCCTGTATAAACCCTGATTTCCAAAAACGAATTGACTCTAAATTTAACTGAAAATGGGGCTGCTTAGTGGCGCAGTGGGTAGATCTGCAAGAAGGTTCCAGGTTCTATTCCTGGGCTGGACTCTTTCTGCATGGAGTTTGCATTTTCTCCCTGAGCATGCGTTCGTTCTCTCTGAGTACGTCGGCTTGTGTGTGCATG